TGTCAGGAGCGACTTGAGAAACTGCAAGTCGCTTCTGGTGTGAGAGAATTGGCCGTCTGCAAGGACGTTGCCCAGGGGATGTTGCCCGGATGTTTTTGATATTTTATCATCCTTGTGGGAGGTTTCTCTCATGTCCCCGCATGGGGAGCTGGAGCTGATAGGGGGAGCTCATCCGCGTTCTCCCCAGATTCGAACCTGCGACCTGTCGATCTTCAATCCTGCCGGCATAGGGATTTAACCCACTGTACCACCAGAGGCTCCACTTTTGAGGATGCCTGCCATAGATGTGGGTGAAACGTCAGGAGAGAATGCTTCTGTAACATGATCATACAGCCCAGAAAACTCACAGCAAGCCCATTCCACAGATATATAAACGTCACTTGCCTAGTTTCCAACAGACCTCACAACCTCTGAGGATGCCTGCCATAGATGTGGGTGAAACATCAGGAGAGAATGCTTCTGGAACATGACCATACAGCTAGAAAGCTCACATCAACCCAGACTTTAAGATTGCCCTTTTTGGTTCAGAGCCTGGATAGCTCTGAACATCTTTTCCTGGTGAAGAAGCCAGCGAAGCATTCAGCTATAAACCCATAATTTCTATCTTCTGACCAATCCCCAAATTCTCCGTCTGGATAAATGATGCCTGTTTGTTCAACTTTTCTTAATCTGCATGGCACCAATTTGGAAGGAAGGGGATTAGCGAATGCTGTAAGGCTCTCTTTTCCCCTCCTTCTGTTTGAAAGACAAAAGCATCTCATTGCCTAGGAGAGAATATTCTTGGGGAATCGGGATGATGAATGCAGCATCCTCCCAACAGTTGAGATGCTGGGCTCAAGGTATGGGCTGTGTTCACCATGACACATAGTAGAGGTCATTACAGGATCGATTTGTGGTGAAGCCGGAGCTCATCTCAAAGGCCCAAACTCTGAAGCTCCGGCAAAGCGGAAGGTGAGCTTCTGTGTGTGTTTACACTGCAGTGTGATTGCTTTCTTCCAGTTGGGGAAAATTGAATTTCGGGGAGGCAGCTCTCTCTTCAAAGAGGAAGCATATCCTTTCTTGTTAATGGAACTGCCATATAGGGCACTTCATTTGGAAGGTGTTGCCCAACACATGCGGCAGTTTGCTTTGTCAGCACCACTCTTTCCAAGGAGGAATCTGATTTCAGGCAAAACCAGGCACGGACAAACTTGGGCCCTCCAGGTGTTTTGGACTCCAACTCCCACCATTCCTAACAGCCTCAGGCCCCTTCCTTTCCCCCCTCAGCCATTTAAGCCCTAGAAAGTGGAAGGAAAGTGCCCAAGGCTGTTAGGAATGGTGGGAATTGGAGTCCAAAACACCTGGAGGGCCCAAGTTTCAGCTGACCCCCATTTTTCCAGACAATCAATCAATCACATCTGGAATATTGTGTCACATCTGGAATATTGTGTCCAATTCTGGGCACCACAATTCAAGAGAGATATTGACAAGCTGGAATGTGTCCAGAGGAGGGCGACTAAAATGATCAAGGGTCTGGAGAACAAGCCCTATGAGGAGCGGCTTAGGGACTGGGCATGTTTAGCCTGAAGAAGAGAAGGCTGAGAGGAGATATGATAGCCATGTCTAAATATGTGAGAGGAAGCCACAGGGAGGAGGAGGGAGCAAACTTGTTTTCTGCTTCCCTGGAGACTAGGACGCAATGGAACAATGGCTTCAAACTAGAAGAGAGGAGATTCCATCTGAACATTAGGAAGAACTTCCTGACTGTGAGAGCCGTTCAGCAGTGGAACTCTCTGCCCCGGAGTGTGGTGGAGGCTCCTTCTTTGGAAGCTTTTAAGCAGAGGCTGGATGGCCATCTGTCAGGGGTGATTTGAATGCAATATTCCTGCTTCTTGGCAGAATGGGGTTGGACTGGATGGCCCATGAGGTCTCTTCCAACTCTTTGATTCTATGATTCTATGATTCTATGAAGGGGCCATTTAGATGAACCCCCCTTGCCTATGTTCTTCCTAACATTTAGATGGGATCTCATTTCTCATCATTTGAATCCATTTTTATTATGTTACTAGCCATCCCCCGCCACGCGTTGCTATGGCCAAGTCTGTGTATATGTTTTGTGTGTGTATATATGCATATATATATGTGTGTGTGTATATATATTTGTGTATATGTGTGTTTGTGTATATATGTATGTGGCTTTGTGCATTCATTGTAATGTGTCTTTTTGTTTTTGGGGACACAGTATTGTCTGTTGGGCATGGTGGTTCTGTGTGGGAAGTTTGCCCCAATTCTGCCGTTGGTGGGGTTCAGAATGCTCTTTGATTGTAGGTGAACTATAAATCCCAGTAACTACAACTCCCAAATGTCAAGGTCTATTTCCCTCCAACTCCATCTGTGTTCATATTTGGGCATATGGAATATTTGTGCCAAGTTTGGTCCACATCCATCATTGTTTGAGTCCACAGTGCTCTCTGGCTGTAGGTGAACTACATCTCCAAACTCAAGGTCAATGCCCACCAAACCCTTCCAGTATTTTCTGTTGGTCATGGGAGTTCTGTGTGCCAATTCCATCGCTAGGGAGGCATGTAGCGGGGGGGGGGGCTTGAGGGGCTTCAGCCCCCCTCCCCCCCCGCCCGAAATTCTCATGGTGGTCCGCGAGAAGGCCTTATTGGTGCATTATTTAAACTGTTATATTTATTCATATCATGATCTGATCACCATACTCTATATATCCCATATGCATGGGGGTATTGGGGTAACGATACAAAAGGTTTGCTAGGGTAGACCCTCTTTCACTCAGACTCAGCCCCCCCCCGAACCAAACTCAGCCCCCCCCCCCCAAAACAAAATCCTGGCTATGGGCCTGCCCCTTGCCTATGTTCTTCCTAGCATTTAGATGGGATCTCATTTCTCATCATTTGAATCCATTTTTATTATGTTACTAGCCATTCCCTGCCACGCGTTGCTGTGGCCCAGTTTGTGTATATGTGTTTTGTGTGTATATATAATCATCATCATCATCATCATCATTTAATTACTTATTAATCGCCCTCCATCCGAGAATGCTCTAGGCGATTTACAGCTAAATTGTAAAAGATAAAATACGTACATACAAAAATTAAAAATTAACAGGGATCGAATGCTCTAGTAAAAAGCCAGGTCTTAAGTGCGAGAGTAAAAGGCCCTAAGTCACGCATGGCTCTCATGTAGGGCGGCAAGGAATTCCACAATAAGGCAGGGGCAGAAATAGAGAAAGCTGCCCTGCGCCTGGTCCTTTCCAAGGGCACTTCTCTAGGACCCGGTATATAGAGTAAGTCGCGTTGGGCTGGTCGTTGCGACCTCCGATGATGGGAGAAGGAGAGGCGGTCCCTAAGGTACGATGGACCCTGGCCGTAAAGAGATTTAAAGGTCAGAACTAGCATCTTATACAGGCCACAGTACTCAGTTGGAAGCCAATGTAAATGTTGCAGCACTGGTGTTATATGGCATTTCATGGGCGTTCTTGTGAGTAACATATGTGTATATGTGTGTTTGTGCATTCATTGTAATGTGTTTTTTTGTTTTTTGGGTTTTTAAGTCTCTTCTGCTGTGTTTTTCTGTGTTTTTAGTCACTTGTTGGGAAGTTTGCCCCAATTCTTTTGTTGGTGGGGTTCAGAATGCTCTTTGATTGTAGGTGAACTATACATCCTAGTAACTACAACTCCCAAATGTCAAGGTCTATTTCCCCCAAACTCCATCTATGTTCACATTTGGGCATATTGAGTATTCCTGTCAAGTTTGGTCCAGATCCATCATTGCTTGAGTCCACAGTGTTCTCTGGATGGAAGTGAACCACAACTCCCAAACTCAAGGTCAATGCCCACCAAACCCTTCCTGTATTTTCTGTTCGTCATGGGAGTTCTGTGTGGCAAGTTTGGTTCAATTCTATCGTTGGTGGAGTTCAGAGTGCTCTTTGATTGTAGGTGAACTATAAATCCCAGCAACTACAACTCCCAAACAACAAAATCATAATGTTTTGAGTGATGGTCACTCCTTGTGTTGTGAGACGTTTTGTTGCCAAATTTGGTGTGATTTCGTTCATTGGTTCTTTTGTTTTTAAGGTACTCATTACGCACAGAGCCTTTATATAGATTTTACACTGATTATTTTATTTTGTTACTTTATGTATTCTGTTATGATGTAATTTTTCTCTTGTTTTGTTTCTAATTGTGCTGTATTGTTTTTGGGCTCAGCCTCATGTTAGCTGCCCCGAGTCCCCTTTGGGGAGATGGAGGCGGGTTATAAATAAAGATGATTATTATTATTATTATTATTATTATTATTATTATTATTATTAATTCATGTTCTAGTCTCCATTTTCTATTTTACATCCCTTCAGACATTTATTAGAATCATAGAGTTGGAAGAGACCTCGTGGGCCATCTAGTCAAACCCCATTCTGCCAAAAAGCAGGAAAATCGCATTCAAATCACCCCTGACAGATGGCCATCCAGCCTCTGCTTAAAAGCTTCTAAAGAAGGAGCCTCCACCACACTCCAGGGCAGAGAGTTCCACTTCTGAACAGCTCTCACAGTCAGGAAGTTCTTCCTCATGTTCAGATGGAATCTCCTTTCTTGTAGTTTGAAGCCATTGTTCCGCATCCTAGTCTCCGGGGCAGAAGAAAACAAGCTTGCTCTCTCCTCCCTATGATTTCCTCTCATATATTTATACATGGCTATCATGTCTCCTCTCAACCTTCTCTTCTTCAGGCTAAACATGCCCAGCTCTTTAAGCCACTCCTCATAGGGCTTGTTCTCCAGACTCTTGATCATTTTAGTTGCCCTCCTCTGGATACATGCCAGCTCTCACAGTCAGGAAGTTTTTCCTCATGTTCAGATGGAATCTCCTTTCTTACTACACTCTTAAGTTAAGCTGAAATGATCCTGTTTAATTGCTCTATTCCTATGCTACTATACGTTCTATAAGTGCCTTAGGATAACTACCTTTTGTTTTTGTTTTCTTTTCTGTGTTCATGTAGAACCGGAATAAAACCTTTGGGATAAACTACAAACTTTGCCAAACCCATCGGCCATGGAGGCCAGTCAGGACTCATCTGTGTTCCTGGTCAACATTTTAGAGGAACTGGATACCAAGCAGAACACAGTTTCCTATCAAGATCTCTGCAAATCGCTATGTGCCAGGTTTGATTTGTCCCAACTAGCCAAGCTAAGGAGTGTGCTTTTCTACACGGCCTGCCTGGATCCCAATTTCCCTGCCACCTTGTTCAAGGACAAAATGAGGTGTAGCGTCAACAACCAGCAATCCAAGAAGATCATGGTTGCGGCAGACATTGTGACAATATTCAACCTGATACAGATGAATGGTGGCGTGGCCAAGGAGAAGCTTCCGCTTGCCCGAGAGAAGGTGAGGAAGAAAGGATCAGTAGAGGCTTGCCCTCCTGACCCAGAGGCATGCAATATGGTGGACTGCGTACTGAACTGTGAGTTGAGGGATGGAGAATTCAGCTGGGGTTATTCGAACCTCAGGGCTCCCAAATGCCGGAAGATGGATTGCAAGGATTGCCCACAGTTTGTCCCGGCTTCTGAGCCTAATTTTTTACTCGGGGTCAATAAGGAAACAAAAGGCCGAGCCGCTTCCCTTGACCGTTTGCAGGCTTTAGCATCCTACGCGATTGCAAACTCTCCCCCTTGTGAGATGCAGAGTACCTATTTCCCCATGAACATAGAAACCGATTCGATTTCAGACCAGGACTCCTTACCGATCAATGCAAGCATTAAAGAGACATTCATGTCCAACGACGAGCCCTTCGTCATGCAGTCATGTGTTCAGAAGCGCAACATCTTCAAGGAAGACTTCCACAATCTCATCACCATCTCACCCAACTTGATCTCGCCCACTGAGAAAGCAGAAGATGACTTGGTAGAACCTCCTACCCAGAAGGAGACCTCCAAACCGCAGGCGTTCTTCAATCACAGTTTCGAAATGCCATACAGCAGTCAATACCTGAACCCCATTTATTCCCCAGTGCCCGATAAAAGGCGAGCCAAGCACGAAAGCTTAGATGATCTCCAGGCATCGACTTATTTTGGGCCCACAACCATTCTCGGGCCACAAGAGACCAAACGGTGGTTGGGGAAGCCAAACAAGCAAACCCCATGGCCGGTGAAGAGTTGGAGCTTGAATACCGAAGAAGTGCCTGACTTTGAAAGGTCTTTCTTAAACAGAAAACAGTCGGAGGAAAAACCTCGGTACCAGAGTTCAAATGCTGAGAGGCATCAGCCTTATCTTGGCCCGAAGGATCAGCAGTCCATGTTGCAGTTAAACTACGCTGCCAAACCAAATGGGCATAAATCCAAAAACATTCCTTCCATTTTGGAAGTGGAAAAGCACGAGCCCGTCAAAAAATTCAAAGACAAAAGTATCAACTGCACCTCTGTCCAGTTGAGCCTGGACAAAAGCAACAGTGTTGGCACACAGACAGAGCAACAAGGGCTGGAACACAAGAAATGCAAAGAGATGGGCCACCCAAACCACAACAAATACGGCGAGCGACATTCTCTTAAGCAGTCGGATGACGACTCTGAAATCGTCAGCGATGATATCAGTGATATCTTCCGATTCTTGGACGACATGAGCATCTGTGGGTCTTCAGGAGTGATGCAGTCGTCCTGCTACAACAGCACGGGCTCGCTTTCCCAGATACACAAATCAGACTGCGAAAGCTCCCCTGAGCACCACTTAGCAAAAATGGCCAATGGGAATGCCACTCACAAAGTGCCTCGGATGGAAATCAGTGGCACGGACGAGGAGCTGAAAGCCAGCGTTTGCAAACTAGTTCTACGGATTGGGGAAATTGAAAAGAAACTGGAGTCTCTCTCGAGCGTCCGGGATGAAATTTCCCAGGTTTTGGGGAAGCTAAACAAATTGGATGAAAAGATCCAGCAGCCGGAGAAAGTGAGCGTCCAGCTAGACCTTAATTCCTTGACGAGCGAAGCTCAGTCGGAAGAAAGTACCTCCCCGCAGATATTTTCACGCAATAATTCTTCACACGGCAGCAAACTCGAGAATAATCCAGACTGGTGCTGTTCAGACGCCAGTGGCAGTAACAGCGAGAGCCTTCGAGTGAAAGCCTTGAAGAAAAGCTTATTCACCAGGAGGTCCTCGAGGTCACTGACAGAAGAAAACAGTGCCACCGAATCCAAGATTGCCAGCATCTCTAACTCCCCGAGAGACTGGCGAGCCATCCCGTATACCAACCAAACAGGCATCACGGAGGAAGAGATGAAAGACCGAGGCGGAGAGGAAAACAAAGACTGGCACAGGAAATCCAAAGAGGTAATTTTTCAATGTCAATTCAGTGCCATATTTTTAACATGATGTTACAAAAGAATGTAGTGTGAGTCAGGAGTCTCGTAGAATTCGAAGGCCCACCAAATGCCTTCCAAAAGCACAATAATCAATTGCCCTGTGTTGTCAAGTCAACTTCTTTTCTCCTTAGCTCAGTGATGGGCAACCTTTTGAGCTTGGTGTGTCAAAATTGGCCAAAAACCAGAGCATAACTTGGGTGGGGTGTCAACTTCGAGAGAGAAAAAAACATAATTTTGCAATATTTATAGTTTAAATAAGAAAAATGTATATTCCAGGCTGAGTTATGGAATGAACAATGCTTAAACGTGCAGATGTTAAATTTGTAGAGCCTTTTACAAATTTAAGGATGGAATTAGATTGGCTCTTATAAGGTGTACTTCTCTATATGCGGCTGCATGTGGCCGCGTGTCATCAAAAATAGCCATGCGTGTCAGTGTTGACACGCATGTCATAGGTTCACCATCATGGCCTTAGCTGTATCTGAGATAAAGAATAATTGTGATATGTCATTGAAGGCTTTCATGGCCGGAATCACTAGTTCTGTTCAAACTAAGGCCCGGGAGCCGGATGCAGCCCTCCAAGGTCATTTACCTGGCCCTCGCTCAGGGTCAACCTAAGTTTGAAACGACTTGAAAGCACACAACAACAACAACAATAACAACAATCCTATCTCATCAGCCAAAACCAGGCCCACACTTCCCATTGAAATACTAATAAGTTTATATTTATTAAAATTGTTCTTCATTTTAATTCAATTAGGCAGTGTAATTGATTACAGGAACACGGAATAACGGATGATGAGATTGGATTCTGATTCTATTGACGAGATGCGAATGATTTGTCATATTGTTGTTTAATTGTTGTCATGCTATTATTTTTAAATGTTCCAATGGTTTTGTAATGTGTGCACTGAAATTGCTGCTGTTAACCGCTTTGAGTCCCCTAAGGGCTGAGAAAAGCGGTATATAAATGAAGTAAGTAAATAAATAAATATTTTATTGTTTTAAAGTGGGTTTTTTTGCACTACAAATAAGATATGTGCAGTGTGCATAGGACTTCATTCATGTTTTTTTCAAATTATAATCCGGCCCTCCAACAGTTTGAGGATTGTCACCTGGCCCTCTGTTTAAAAAGTTTGAGGACCCCTGCTTCAGACTCTGTAGATTTCCATTGCAAGTTGTTGCAATGGAAACCTGCAGAGTTGTTGGCTCATAAAGAAATGTTCTGATCTGTGTCTTTTTCTATATTTCTGTGTGTCTAACAGAGATGCATAAAATAAATGTGGTGATGCAATTATTTATTATTGGTTTTCTATAGTATTTTTTTTTTCATTTTATTGCTGTCTTCTGTTATATTGATGTATTGTATTGCTGGGCTTGGCTTCATGTAAGCCGCCCCGTCCCCGTCGGGAGATGGTGGCGAGGTATAAATAAAGTTTTGTTCTATTATTATTATTATTATTATTATTATTATTATTATTATTATTATTGGAGCCCCCGGTGGTGCAGTGGGTTAAACCCCTGTGCCGACAGGACTGAAGACCGACAGGTCGCAGGTTTGAATCCGGGGAGAGGCGGATGAGCTCCCTCTATCAGCTCCAGCTCCTCATGCGGGGACATGAGAGAAGCCTCCCACAAGGATGATAAAAACATCAAATCATCCGGGCGTCCCCTGGGCAACGTCCTTGCAGACGGCCAATTCTCTCACACCAGAAGTGACTTGCAGTTTCTCAGGTCGCTCCTGACATGACCAATTATTATTATTATTATTATTATTATTTTCTTTAGAGATGAACAGTCCTGGAGCTTTCTCATTTGCCATACTTCCTTTGGAAGAATGTTACAAGCTTTCCTGAAAAGATTAGTTCCCATTCTAGCCCCTTGTATTGTAAAAATGTGCCAATAATCTGAATTTGAGACATTGGAGACCCATGACTGAGTCTTCCATCTCACTTTCGGAGTGTATATAGCCAAAATGAAACCATTAAACAAATAGTTTTATTAGTATGTTTGGAGAATCATAACATTTACAAAACCAAAACACAAGAAATAGAAGGGAGGAAGGGGAAAGAAATCCACCAAACAAATCAGTTTCTTCTACAACCACAGAAGGTGGGTTATACACTAAACTAGAGGGAAATATCATATCCTAGAAGAGGGAATGGATAACTGGAAAGCAGCACAGAAACACAGACAGGAGGTGAGGACTTCTGTGAACCTCTGAACTTTGTTGCAGGTGGACAGGCAATATGAAATCCCTCAGGCGCACAGACACTCGAAGCCTCCCAAAGATGCCTACCTGATAGAGCAAGTTTTCAGCCCCCATCCTTACCCCGCATCCCTCAAGTCCCACATGAAGACCAACCCGCTCTATACGGACATGCGCCTGACGGAACTTGTGGAAGTCAAGCGGACTCAGCCATCCTGGACCATTGAGGAATACACAAGGAACTCTGGCGAGAAAGGGAAGTTGGCTGCTTTGGACCTACAAGTGAGTTGCCATCTTTTGCAATACTATTTATTTGTTTGTAAGGGATCATGGGTTTAGGGTGCAGGGTCCTTTTTGAAGAAGTCCACAGAGTGCAATAGGTTCAGGTAAGACACCATTTATTCAAGCTGATCAGCATGAGGTGAACAGACAGCACTTCTGCAAGTGTACCCAGAGACTGCTGCGTCCCTCCTCAGCTTTTTACAAACCTTTATACCATGATGTAAACAAAAATATTTTTGTCATGGAAAGTACTTTGACCTTTACTCTTCCTGTCCCATCAACCTCTTGGTGGAAAGTACCTTCTCGCACCTGCAGACTTTGTGCTTAACCACAAACCAACTTCCTATGTAAGCTCGCTAATATAGCGACTTTTCAAAGAACCAAAACCTTAAACTTTGTATGACCTCTACATGTCACCTCTTGTTTTTGAAACATTTTCCTCCGTGCTGTTCCTTTTCCACAGGGAAGGGTACATTTATCCTTTGTTGCTAAAGGCTTTAGCTATTGCTAATTTCACTCAAAGACCCTTTCAGTTTAATTCATTTATATCCAACTCTTCTCACCCCTACAGGGGATTCAGAGCAGCGTACATCATATACAATTCAATTCCGCAATTGTACACACAGTTAACTCATAGATTAAAATCATTAAACAGTAAACTTAAAACACAATATTAAAACATGATAATCCAAAACACAAATCCCGCATTGCACCAATACTTAGATCATAGTTCTGCTGCTTCATTTTAACCGTATCATGACAAGATGGCCTTTCCATCACACATCAAATGCCTGTTTAAATAGCCAGGTTTTCACTTGCTTCCTAAATGCCTGGAGGGAGGAAAAGAGTTCCACAGCCAAGGGGCCGCCACCAAGAAGGTCCTGTCTCTCATCCCCAGCAATTGCGCTTGCAAAGGTGGTGGGACCAAGAGCAGGATCTCCCCGGCAGATCTTAGCGCTCATACCAGTTCATAAAGGGAGATACTTTCAGATAAGTAAGCTGGACCAGAGCCATTTAGGGTTTTATAGGCTAAAGCCAGCAATATGAATTGTGCTTGGTAGCTGACTAGCAGCCAATGGAGCTGACCGGTTCAGGAACAAAATAGCCTCCTTAGTAGTAGGTGGAGGAGCCCCTGGTGTCACAGTGGGTTAAACCCCTATGCCGGCAGGATTGAAGACCGACAGGTCGCAGGTTCGAATCCGGGGAGAGCGCGGATGAGCTCCCTCTATCAGCTTCAGCTCCTCATGCGGGGACATGAGAGAAGCCTCCCAAAGGATGCTAAAAATATCAAAACATCCGGGCATCCCCTGGGCAACGTCCTTGCAGACTGCCAATTCTCCCACACCAGAACCGACGTGCAGTTGCTCAAGTCGCTTCTGACACGACAAAAAAAAAAGTAGTAGATGGAAAAGAGTAATAGAGTTGGATGTCATCCGCATACAGGTGGCATCGGACTCCAAAACTCCGGATGTTCATCCCCAGTGACTTCATTAAACAACATGGGGGACAGTACTGGACCCTGCGAGACCCCACAGGACAAAAGCTGTGGGGCTGAGCAGATGTCCCCCAACAACACCTCCTGAGAGTGACCCTCCAGGAAGGACCGGAGCCACTGCAGAGCAGGACCTCCAAGCCTGATTCCCATGAGGCATTCCAGAAGGATACCATGGTCTATAGTATCGAAGGCCACTGAGAGGTCATTTCTTATGCATGCTTTTCCTCATGGTAACAGGCACTATTTACTGCATGAGGTCATATATATCTAAGTCGGCTGATGTCATCCAGTAGGACAGGGATTGTGGACTCCTGGTTAGCAGGCTGGATTTGGTTTGGAGACCGTAGATGGCTATGAGGTTCTGTTCTGTGACCTATCCTAGAGGAGCAGAACCCATGACATTAGGAGGCCTGCAGCACAAAAAATCACCCCTAGAAGGTGACTTGGTTTCCCTTTGCTCCATCTTCCTCCATAGAGTGAAGCACTCTTCCAAATAACATCACTGCTAGGTTGCTGCAAGTTTTTTGGGCTGTATGGCCGTGTTCCAGAAGCATTCTCTCCTGACGTTTCACCTGCATCTATGGCAGGCATCCTCAGATGAACCTCTGAGGATGCCTGCCATAGATGCAGACAAAACGTCAGGAAAGAATGCTTCTGGAACATAGCCATACAGCCTGAAAAACTTACAGCAACCCAGTGATTCTGGCCATGAAAGCCTTCGACAATACATTCAAAATCACTGCTATCTGATGTAATTGTCCTCAAGAGCACTGTGGTTGGTTCAGAGGACAGTGAGTACCTCGAGGTGCAGAGTATGGGATTCTGAAGACGGTCCTCAGCAGAGTTCTGTGCTTTGGCAAGGCATTAGGACCTGGACATCTGCCCGAGATTCAATGGACTGATGCCAAGTTTGGCAGTCATCCACAGCTGCTGCATTCAGTTTGATGGGTGAGGAGATGTGCAGACCTCAATCATCCAGAATCCCACCCAAGTTCTTCTTTTAGGCTGTGATATTCTTTGTCCCAGTTCCACACAGACCTGATGCTTTTCACAGGTTTCAAGGCTGAGGATTAATTAACCAGCCATCCTGCGGCCCAAGGGTTTTAGCAGTCATCGCTTTCAGTCAGAAGGTGTTGCGATGACTTATCTTGAGGACATCGTGTAGCCTGTTTTTAGCGAGGCTGCCAAATTAATAGTAGAAAGCATTGCAGCAAGGGAGCATGAGGCAGTTGCTGTATAATAAGCTTCCTTTTTCTCCCCCTTGCAAAACTGCAAGCAGGCAGGCAAATGAAGCCAAGTTGGGAAAGCTTATTGTCAGTGCCTGGATTTTTCGGCAGACTCAAGATACATCCTCTTGTAAACATACAGTAATAAGCATTTGTAAGAAGCTCAACTTCTGCCTAGCGTTTTAATCTGGTTTACATGATATAGCACGGGGAAACTTAGACCCTCCACCGTCTATTTGTGTCACTGATAAAGTACTTCCTCATTCTTTGCAGGCTTGCTGGAGATTTTTATGGCATTGTAAATTAGTTAAATTAGCCTCCCCACATAGGCAGTACCTAAATTTCCTACTTGACAGATCACAGAATCCTAGAATCAAAGAGTTGGAAGAGACCTCATGGGCCATCATCCAGTCCAACCCCATTCTGCCAAGAAGCAGGAATATTGCATTCAAATCACCCCTGACAGATGGCCATCCAGCCTCTGTTTAAAAGCTTCCAAAGAAGGAGCCTCCACCACACTGCTGAATGGCTCTCACAGTCAGGAAGTTCTTCCTCATGTTCAGATGGAATCCCCTTTCTTGTAGTTTGAAGCCATTGTTCCGCTTCCTAGTCTCCAGGGAAGCAGAAAACAAGCTTGCTCCCTCCTCCCTGTGGCTTCCTCTCACATATTTATACATGGCTATCATATCTCCTCTCAGCCTTCTCTTCTTCAGGCTAAGCATGCCCAGCTCCTTAAGCCGCTCCTCATAGGGCTTGTTCTCCAGACCCTTGATCATTTTAGTCGCCCTCCTCTGGACACATTCCAGCTTGTCAATATCTCTCTTGAATTGTGGTGCCCAGAATTGGACACAATATTCCAGGTGTGGTCTAACCAAAGCAGAATAGAGGGGTAGCATGACTTCCTTAGATCTAGACGCTATGCTCCTCTTGATGCAGGCCAAAATCCCATTGGCTTTTTTTGCCGCCACATCACATTGTTGGCTCATGTTTAACTTGTTGTCCACGAGGACTCCAAGATCTTTTTCACACGTACTGCTCTCGAGCCAGGCATTGTCCCCCATTCTGTATCTTTGCATTTCGTTTTTCCTGGAAAGATACAGAATGGGGGACGCCTGCAACTGTTTTTTGGGCTGCAAAGGTCAACAGCAAGCTACACAAATTGGTTGGACACTCACTCCAACCCAGGCTTAAGCGGCTGAGTGGGAAAGGAAAGGGTCTGAGGCTGTTAGGAATTGTGGGAGTTGAAGTCCAAAACACTTGGAGGACCCAAGTTGGCCCATGCCTGGTCTAGCCCTTGTTATGTTGACATTCTTTCATCTTTCACACTGCTCGTTGCACCTCAGAGTAGAATCACCTTGCTGAAGCACACCAAACTGCACACAGCCAGTAGTCTTTGTTATTTATTAAAAATAAAAGGTAAAAAGTTCTTAAAAGCAAAGGTAATGTTTCAAAAGATCAGGATAACATAGCACTTGAAGCATAATCCAATAGACATCAGCAAAGCAAGACTCAAGAGGACATGACAAAGTCCTGAGACCATGAACACAAAGAGTGCAAGGTAAATTCAGCCTAGCTTAGGCAAACTCCTTAGGTAAACGCGAAAGTTGCTTTGACAAAGATCTGGTCTCAAACTCCCTGTTTAATACCCTTTGCAAAACATAAAGGCATTTCTTTGGCCTCTGGCCTCCTTCTTGTTAGCTATCCTTTCACTCCTTCGAACACAGAATTCCAACCGGGCAGCCCTATCTAAAGTTCCCATATCATCAAGGTCAATTTGCTCGTTAGCAGCCTGTTTTCCTGCTTGTTCATTATCAGGCTGAGAACTAGGCAAAGAGCTATCCTCTCTTTCGGAGTCAATCTGCACCTGGCTGCTATCTTCCGTTTCCACACTCTCATGCCTTGCTGTGGGAAACTGCACTTCTTCTTCACTCTCTATAGCAGGGACATCTATAGCAGGGATCCTTGTCACCTGGTCATGCCCAGCACATTTTTAATTTTAACTGTTACATTTGGCCCTGCCATAGATTTTAATGCGTCGTGGTGTGTTGTCAATGTTTATTGCTTTGTTTTGAGTTCATTTTGTTGTATTGTTGTTGTTGTTGTTTCAATTAGTCCAATGTGCGGCAGCCAGACTACTAATGGGAGCGGGGTACAGGGAGCATACTACTCCTCTGTTGCGCCAGCTCCACTGGCTGCCAGTCAGCTTCCGAGCACAATTCAAAGTGCTGGTTTTAAAGCCCCAAACTGACTCCGGCCCAATTTACCTTCCGAACGTATCCTCCCCTATGAGCCATCAAGGTTGTTAAGATCGTCTGGAGAGGCCCTGCTCTCGATCCCACCGGCCTCACAGGCGCAGCTGGTGGGGACGAGAGACAGGGCCTTCTCGGTGGTGGCCCCTCGACTCTGGAACTCCCTTCCACTGGAGATCAGAACTGCCCCTTCTATCTTAACGTTCAGGAAACAGGTGAAAACTTGGCTTTGGGGATTGTCATTCGACGAATGAGCCATGATCCTATGATATGGATGGATGACGATGAATAATGATTTTTGATGACGACTGACCACTGTAATTATAGGATTGTATTTTGCTATTTTAATGTTTTAGTGTGATTTAGAATATGATGTTTTAATGACTGTCTGTAATATTCGAACGGAGGTGAGAAGACTGGTATACAAAACTGCTAAATAAATAAATAAATAAATTTACTGATGCATTTGGGCTCGGCCTCTTGTAAGCTGCACTGAGTCCTCCGGGAGATGGTAGCAGGGTATAAATAAAGGTTTATTATTGTGCAGAAGTCATTGTTATTATGTTTGTGTTTAACTGTTAGAGTATGTATTTGTGTTTGTAACAGTAGCTAAAACTGGAGTCATCTGGTTTGAATCCACAGTGAGCGTTGCCAAGGAGACGAGGCTGGCTAGCTCATGAGGGGGAGGAGTGGGTGGAGCCAAGCAGGAAAAGTTATGTTTTTAAAAAAGGCCGGAGAGTGAGGCTTGGAAAGGCCTGAGAGAGAGGCTTGTGTGTGAGCGGCTGGTGTTTTTCAGTCTAGGAGGGCTGAAGAAAGAAACCTGGCCAGATTCTTTAGTCAAAGAAGACTAAAGGAAGCCTAGTTAAGATCCCTAGTTAAGGAAGGACTAGAGATCAGAGATTTGATCGAGGGAAGATCAAATTGAAAGGCTATTTATAGTAGTGAAACATTGTTCACTAGAGAGCTTCACCTCAGTGAAAGTTAGCCACAAGCTGTGTTATCTGGAAGAGTGGACTGTATTATAAACCACGTGATATTCAAAGTTCCATAAGTTATTTAACAGCCTGCAACTATAAGCTTTGTACACAATAAACTTGTTATCTTTTGTTGAAAACCGTCTCATCTCAACTAATCTGCGTCTGTAGAGCCAGATCTCATCGGTGGTACCTCAAATACCTCACGTTGGTGGCAGTTACCTTAATTTACTAATAATAATTGGCCTCCTCCATAATATACTCTTCTACACAATTGAGGCTTGAGGTAAATTCCCTCCATAACATCCACATCTGTACAATTGGCAGAGGCGGCCCTAGGTAATTTTCAATGGTAAGCAAACAGTATTTTGGCACCCCCACCCCAACCAATCACTGATACAAAATTTTTCTGTTCGTCGTGGGAGTTCTGTGTGCCATATTTGGTTCAATTCCATCATTGGTGGAGTTCAGAATGCTCTTTGATTGTAGGTAAACTATACATCCCAGTAACTACAACTCGCATATGTCAAGGTCTATTTTCCCCCAAGAGCGCCTCAAGAGCACCCCTGGGCAAAATCAACTATACTGCAAATGCTTACTTTGTGTAATGGGTTGAGCCACCCCTGACAATTGGTGGCAGCGGTGAGATTAAAAAGTGCCCGAGGTAAAATACCTCCATTATTAGGGCTTGCCGTTGCCAACCTCAGCAACACACAAGCACCTCCTCGCAATTGGTGATAGCGGTGGGGATCTTCAAAGATAAAATCCCTATACCCTGTCCATCGTGGAGTTCACATCTTCCCAATTATTATTTATTATTTTACATCCATAAGAAATATCTTAACCCAGCCTTAATAAAACTGAATGAACTCTGGCTTTTTCCTGACCTTCTTCTGTTAATGGTATGATTGCTTTACCAGTTGTAAATGTAAGAGAAAGAAGGGACAAACTTAATGGCTTTCCTCTTATTTTATTTTTCCTTTTCATTTATGTTTCCAGACTCAAGAATCTTTAAATCCCAACAATTTGGAATACTGGATGGAGGACATATACACGCCAGGCTATGACTCACTATTGAAGCGCAAAGAAGCTGAATTCAGAAGAGCAAAAGTTTGCAAAATAGCTGCCTTGATTGCAGCAGCTGCCTGTACAGTGATCCTTGTCATCGTGGTCCCTATATGCACTATGAAATCATGATTCCGGTCGCGGAGGGATACATCACGGCCCTGTATATAAAGTTGCTCCAAATATCCTGTGCAGGATTTTCATGGGAATGGTTGTAACTGTTCACTGGGAAAGGCTATTCCAAGAGAATGCAGCATAGGAGCATGCAAAGAAGTGCTGGGTTCCTGGTCCTTTTGAACAGCAAAGCATTTTGCAAAACGAATGGCGATGGGTTTACATGTTTACACATCATGACAAGTGAATTCTCCCTTGCTTTGGAAAAGAAGATAGAACTATTTTACAAGATTGGAAATGGAGGAAGAGAGAGGATTTTGTTCTTCCCTGTACCAATAGGAATTTTATATTGATACGTTATAGACGACTGGTCATTCTTGAACAATATGCATTTCGTCAGAGAGATAAGAGCTCGGATGACACTCTCGGAAATTTGACAAATCTGAGTACATTGTTGGTGGTTATGTATTCCTTCTTTGTTCCGTTTCAAAAGCAAATTTGTAGCCTTGGGAAGGGTGGGATTTGGGATCTGGGAATCCAAAAGGGCTCTTTGTAACTGGGTCTTGCCATAAGACCTTGTTGTTCTCTGAGTACACAAGTCAGGGATGCAAACTGTTTGGCTCTTTAGATATCACTGGCCTGCAAAGCCCATCCATTCTAGTTAGCACGGCCAATGGTGAAGGATGATGGGGATTGAGGCCTAACATCTGGAGTGACACCTGTTCTCCATCCCTGACATTTGCTATAGACCAAAAAGAATCTGGTGAAAAGCAGTTCCTATCTGGGTTTTTAGTTGAGTGTGTTGAGATCAACTTTCCAAAACAATAGCATATGCTCCTATTATGTTTGTAGCAACATCCTTTCTGGTCAGACGATTACAATCAAATCCAAAACGTTTGAACTGTACTCTTCTGATTCTTGGACATATCATCAAAATAACTATGAATGTAGGGATATGAAGAATACAAGGTTTGAATGAAAAGTAATGCCTCCACCTTCGTAACTCCTCAACAGGTGGCAGTACTGGTATGCAACAGGTACTGGCTTGTTCAGTAGACTCTCCTCTACAGTTCCATTTAGGCAGGAAGCTTTAGCATTGAATAGTTGTGTTGTTAAAGTGTGAAGTATGGAACCGTGCGCAGACAGTCAGTCAATGCAACTTAAGCAACATGCAGTCATTGAATGCTTGACAGCAGAAGATGTCACCCCAAAGGAGATTCATCAGAGAATGCAAGCTGTTGATGGGGATTGTGTTGGTGTGAGTACTGTGCATCGTTGGGCGAGTAAGTTTAAAGATGTTGAGGTGGGGACATCTGACTTGCATGAGAAACAAAGAGTTGGATGTCCTGTGACAGCAACCACCGAGTTTCACAAACAGATTGATTCAGGACAAACGTCGTATTCCTCAGAGAGAAATTTCAAGCATAATTGCCATTTCGCAAGAATGAGTGGGTCACATTATTGCTTTGCTTGGCTATCAGAAGACCTGTACACTAGGCCTGGGTAACAACGGAAAAATTTGTTTCTAAAATCGATTCGTTTTTTGGGGGTTTTTGCGTTTCGTTATTTAAAATAATTACAAAATTTTCCTTTTAAAAAGTTCAATATTTACGAAATTTCGTAAATGGTAAAAAATTAACGAATTGATTTCCGAAACAATAACGAATCGATTCGTTAATGGCGGACGCGACCGCGAAATATGCTAAAAAACCTCCAAAACCTTCTGAAGCTTCCCTCTCCCTCTGTTGTTGACTGTTGGTGTGATATTATAATTTTTTTCCACTAATTAAACCATAAAACTGGCCCAGACATGCGGAAATAATAACGAAACGACCTCAAAACAATAACGAAACGAATACAATAACGAAATACGAAGCATTTACAAAACGTATTTAAAAATTCGTTTTTTAAATAATTGCTCCAGAATGGTTCGTTATCGTTTTGTAATTGAAAAAATTAACGAATTATTAACGAATTACGAATTAACGAAACGAAACCGCCCAGCCCTACTGTACACAATGGGTTGCGGCAACAGAGTGTCGACTTCTTCTGTTACGGCTTCAGAAAACTTGTTCATTCTTGGCAGAAATGTATCCAATTATCTGGTGATTATATCAAAAAGTGAATAGTGGTAGTTAAAGAGCACATTCTAAGGATTATTTCTGTGTTTGATTTATTAAAATATTAAGTTCTTGTGGGGGTTTTTCGGGCTATATGGCCATGTTCTAGAGGCATTTCTCCTGACGTTTCACTTGCATCTATGGCAAGCATCCAAACCCAAGTAACAAAGGTGGAGGCATAACTTTTCATTCAACCCTCATAACTCCCTTGAAAGACTGGGAAGGGAGCAATTTCTGGAAGCCGGTTGTCTCTTGTCTTACTAATGACTATTCTGGTCTCAAATATATTGGAGCATTTGGAGAGGGTTCTTCTAGTGAACCAAAGCAAGTGCAGAAGGTCCCTCTACTTCAATGGTTCTCAACCTCCAGGTAGTTTGGATTCCAACTCCCACAATTCCTAACAGCTGGTAAGCTGACTAGGACTTCTGGGAGTTTGATTTCAGTAGGGCAATGACTAATTTTGGTTGTTTCTGGGAATCTTCACTCAAATAAAGTAACTTGTCCAAATTCTGGTCTCCATAGACATGCCGATTTCTCTTGCTGGGTCAGGAGGATGATATTTAATGAGTGTAACAAATGCCACGGGTCATAGTAAGCAAGGCTCAGCCCTTGCTGGGAATTGTGAAATTCAGGGAAGATGGACTTTTTTTTTGTATGATAGAAATACCTGGCAGCAGTAGCCTGCAAACTATATTGTATTCAATCTTGTGTACCAGTTACTAAAACTGCTATATATATATCTATACATATTGTATTCTACATTATAGACTTTTGTATGGAGATGATAACAATACAAATAATTATATTAGTGCGGCTAGAAGTACATTATAATCATTAGCGTGAGACAAAAAAACATGTACTAGACAGTATTATTCAAAATCATAATGGCGAGCTATTGGTAGTACTTTTTGTATTCATGCCTTATCAATATAAGGGTTATATACTCCTTGGAAGGTGATTGGTGAAAATGAATAATGTCAGATGACCATGTTGAACCAATCCTGCTTCTCTTACTCTGATCCACTTTTCTTTTTTTTCTTTTTTTGTCCATGTCAGGAGTGACTTGAGAAACTGCAAGTCGCTTCTGGTGTGAGAGAATTGGCCGTCTGCAAGGACGTTGCCCAGGGGACGGCCAGATTTTTTTTGATGTTTTATCATCCTTGTGGGAGGCTTCTCTCATGTCCCCGCATGAGGAGCTGGAGCTGACAGAGGGAGCTCATCCACACTCTCATCGGATTCAAACTTACAACTTGTCGGTCTTCAGTTCTGTGGCACAAGGGTTTAACCCAGTGATGGGCAACCTTTTGAGCTTGGTGTGTCAAAATTGGCCAAAAACCTGAGCGTAACTTGGGTGGGGTGTCAACTTTGAGAAAAACAACAACATAATTTTGCAATATTTATAGTTTAAATAAGAAAAATGTATATTCCATGCTGAGTTATGGAGTGAACAATGCTCAAACGTGCAGATGTTAAATTTGTAGAGCCTTTTACAAATTTAAGGATGGAATTAGATTGGCTCTTATAAGGTGGACTTCTCTGCATGCGGCCTCATGTGGCCGCGTGTCATCAAAAATAGTCATGCGTGTCAGTGCTGACACGCCTGTCATAGGTTCACCATCACGGGTTTAACCCATTGCGCCACCGAGGGCTCCTCAGATCCACATCATCGTAACCAATTTGTCACAACCTGATCTACTTCATCACAACCTCATACCACTGGTACTACTGCAAAAAAAAATTAGTTGTAGTATATTACAAATAAATTGCTTTTAATGGGATGTAAATTGCCTGAAACTCTAATGGAGTGGGTGCCAGCCACCAAACTGAAATTTCACCTGGTTTGCTCACAAGAGTAAGAAAAGATGGATCGATCGATCCCCTTCCGGATCTTTAATGCATTCTTATTTATTTACGCAGGGCGTTTGGTTACCATAGGATGTAATGATGCCTTTCTTTCCTAAAGTTACTGTACAACGTGGCCTTTGAGTTCATTAAACTATTACATCAAATAAACTTGAGAAATTGTACACGTCCTCCGAAGTCCGCCTAATGAAACAGAAATATTAATTTATCACTCTGTCACATTGCCTGTTCCCGGAGACATCAAGATAGTGGTGTGCCGTGAATGGTGGAAGGTTTGGATAATGATGCATTCTGTCTTGCCTTGGCAGCATTTTTAATGGGACTTGTGTCAGGGACTAATAAGATTGCAGAAATTGATGAAAAATGAATTTAGGAGAAGAGGGGCTTGCCAAGTGAATTGCAAGGCTCAGGGAGAGATGGCCTGTTGGAGTCTCATCAAAATGTTTGAGTTTATGCATACATTTTCCTTCAGTGCTGGTGTTTACATCAAACCATGGACAATCTGGATTTTCTCAGGGAACGTGCTCCAAGTTTTTGCTTTGCTACTAGCCATCCCCTGCCACACATAGCTGTGGCCCAGTCTGTGTATATATCTGTATATGTGTATATATGTGGTTTTATGCATGTGTTGTAATGTGTTTTTTATTTATTTTTTTGCTTTTTTTAGTCCCTTCTGCTGTGTTTTTCAGTGTTTTTATGAGTGATGGTCATTTGTTGGCCTGATAGGTGTACTGCGACCAAATTTGGTGTCAATTCATCCAGTGGTTTTTGAGTTATGTTAATCCCACAAATGAACATTACATTTTTATTTATATTGATGAGGGATAAGGAATAAGGATTGTTGTAGGTTTTTTGGGGCTATATGGCCATGTTCTAGAGGCATTCTCTCCTGACGCTTTGCCTGCATCTATGGCAAGCATCCTCAGAGGTTGTGAGGTCTGTTGGAAATAGGAAAATGGGTTTATATATCTGTGGAATGACTGGGGTGGGGCAAAGAGCTCTCTGCTGAAGCTAGGTGTGAATGTTTCAGCTGACCACCTTCATTAGCATTTGAAGGCTTGGCTGAGCCTGGGAAAATGTTCTGTTGAGAGGTGTTAAGATGTGCCTGGTTGTTTCCTCTCTGCTGTTTTGCTGTAGTAATTTTAGAGTTTTTTAATACTGGTAGCCAGATTTTGTTCATTTTCATGGTCTCCTCCTTTCTGTTGAAATTGTCCACATGCTTGTGGATTTCAATGGCTTCTCTGTGTAGTCTGACATGGTTGGTTTGTTGGAGTGGTCCAGCATTTCTGTGTTCTCAAATAATATGCTGTGTCCAGGTTGGTTCATCAGGTGCTCTGCTATGGCTGACTTCTCTGGTTGAAGTAGTCTGCAGTTCTTTTCATGTTTCTTGATTCGTGTTTGGGCAATGCTGTGTTTGGTGGTCCCTATGTAGACTTGTCCACAGCTGCATGGTATCGGTAGACTCCTGCAGAGGTGAGAGGATCCCTCTTGTCCTTTGCTGAACGTAGCATTTGTTGGATTTTCTTGGTGGGTTTGTAGATTGTTTGTATGTTGTGTTTCCTCATCAGCTTCCCTATGCGGTCAGTGGTTCCTTTGATGTATGGCAGGAACACTTTTCCTCTGGGTGGATCTTCATCTTGACTCTCGTGGCTTGTTCTTGGTCTTGCAGCTCTTCTGATGTCTGAGGTGGAGTATCCATTGGCCTGGAGAGCCCAGTTGAGGTGGTTCAGTTCATCTTGGAGGAGGTGGGGTTCGCAGATTCTTTTTGCACGGTCTGCCAAGGCTTTAATGGTGCTTCTTTTTTGACTTGGGTGATGGTTGGAGTTTTTATGTAGATATCTATCTGTGTGTGGGTTTTCTGTAGACGGTGTGACCCAATTGTTGATCTGGTTTGCGGATGACTAGGACATCTAGAAAAGGCAGTCTTCCTTCATTTTCTTTTTCCATGGTGAACTGGATGTTTGGGTGGATGCTGTTAAGATGGTCCAGGAACCTGTTGAGTTCTTCTTCTCCATGGCTCCAAATGGTGAAGGTGTCATCCACATATCTTAACCATATCGTGGGCTTTTTGGTTGCTGTCTCCAGGGCTTGTTTTCAAAGTGTTCCATGAAGACATCCAAGCCCTGGAGACAGCAACCGAAAAGCCCACGATATGGTTCAGACACTAGGCTCCTATTGATGCAGGCCAAAATCCCATTAGCTTCTTTAGCTGCCACTTCACATCGTTGGCTCATGTTTTACTTGTTGTCCACGAGGACTCATGTTGAAATAAGGTTCTGTTGCCAATCCAAGGTCATTGCTATATTGTACTTGCACCATATCATAATGTCTTGAACTAGCTCCAGATAACCTGAACAATTTCTGATTTCCCTCATCCCTCACTCTGCAAAGCACTCATTTTCACAAGATTTGCTTTAGGCCAACCTTACTAAACCCTCAGAAGCAGGGAGAAAGCCCCACATA